TATGAGCCGGTAAATTTCCTAAAGTGAAATAAACTGCAAGCATTTTATACTTTTTTCGTGCTGATCCAATAGGATTTACAATTTCAAAACTGTCTGTGTATAACATTATTGTAATGGCTTCACGATTTTTAGAAAAAAAAGGATTATTTTTAAAAAGTTCTCCATCAAAGAAATCCTTCAAAACATCTGTTTCATTTTCAGGATGTTTTAAATCTAAATTGTATGCTTTACTATTGAACATAGCTTTAATTGTATCTGTTATTGACACATAGTGATAATGCGCTTTTTTCCCTTTAATTTTTCCTAGTGGGATAAATTCAGGTTGTACATAAGGAAAGTTCTTTTTATAAAATTGTTTTCTTCGATAGTCACTTCCAAATGTCGAATGACAAGTTTCCATTAGATCATCCTTCATTATTTTGTCAATGACGCTGTCGACTTCATCAGCATTAGAATTTAAATTAATAAGATATTCCTTTATACGACTTTGAAAGATATTTAAACGCTGCGAATCAACATTTCTTAATTCCTTAACGAGAAATTGGATCGTTGATGCTGGAACTAAAAACTGAGATTCTTACTTTAAGTACAATTGAGCAAAATTTGTTTTAAAAAGTTCAAGAAATTTTTCGTTCTAATGATTACTTTCCTCACTGTTTTCTATCTGAAAAGACGATTCAGCTAACATATCATCGACATTTTCTTCATAATTTATGGCTTGTTGTCATTCCTGATAATCCAAAGAAACTATCGAAGTTGAACAATTTTGTTCTGTTTTTGATGTGTCAGTAACATAATTGGACGAAGATTTATGTCGTGATATATGGCTTGAAAAAGAACTAATATTGGTGTATTTTTTATTGCAATTTGGAAATGGACATTTCACAGTTTCATCATTTTCAATATACCCCTTTAAATGTTTCATAAATATCTGATAATTAACCATCTCTTTTCTACATATTTCCACAGAACAAATGAACTTACAGTTTTGTGTAGCAAGAGCTTTTGACATTCTATTGTATAAATCCTTACGCATTCTTAAACCGTGCACTCTTTTTAGATGCAATTTTAAAAATATATTTTTTTTACGTATGAATTTGTATCCATTAAACCCACAAAGAAACTGCCTGCAAAGATTCGTATGAATTTTAAGATGATTAAGATGATTTACAAGCAATTCTGTGCCATGATTGCAGAAGTGGCATATAAACATTTTGGGATTTTATTTCAACCTGAAAGGAATTTATGATTTTGAAATGTTTAATATCTAAGAAGAATATCGTATAGACAAAAAATTTTAGTCATGAACTCATAAACGCCAGTTTAAAAAGCAATTTGATATAAATAAATGTAGAAAAATTGAAAATAGCAAATAACTGAAAGCGATAGTCGATTTTACGTCAAAAAATTTTGAATGAACATATTACACATTCAATATTTTTTAAATCCGTTAGCTATAGAAAAATTGTAAACAGTTTAAATAACCCTGTATTCGTCTCAACCCATGTTCATACGAAAAATATCATCTAGTTAAGTAGTAGAAACAATACCGAGGGTCAAAAATATTGTTAAAAAATAATTAGTTGAAACAAATTATTTTTTAACATAATGTTTAACGACAATAACACTGAGAAAACAGTATACTTAATATAGAAAACTATTTTTCAGTGATTTTGTTTAATTGAAATTAGTTTGCAAGCTTAATCCCAATATATAAAAAACAACTACTGCTTTGATTCAAAAATATTATTTGTTTGAATAATTATGTTTAATTTAAACATATTTTCTGTTTTGATTTAAACAAAAATTATGTTTAAAATAACTTATGTTTGAATTAAATATTTTATTTCTTTAGATGTACCAAAAAAAATATGTTTGAATTAAACTTAAATATGTTTGACTGTATAGCAAAGATATTTTAAGTTTGATTTAAACAAAATATGTTTGAATCAAATAAGTTGTTTTCTCAGTAAATATTTTTTTGGTTTGTGGTCCTTCTTTCAGTTTTGAGCTATAGATGATATCTATTGGTAAGAGCATGGGGTGATCTTATGGACGCATGGAGGGGATACAACTTCTGTTTATGCTGACTGCCCTCATTAACACATATACCTGCGACCGACGTTTATGACAGTTTAAAAAAAGGATAATTGAGGCAATAAAATATTAAAAATCTTTGAATATTACAATTTATAAATTTGCAGCAGCATATTTTAAATCTCCAAATTCTGCTGATTACATTCATATGTAATTTTTTGTTCAATGAGGTAATATTAAAGGTTTTTAAATATATATTCTGAATGTTCTAAAAAAATTAATTTACTTATTTATTAAAAACAATGGATTTATAGAAAAATTTTATTTAAAAACATTTTGAAGAATTAAAATTTGGAGAAGTTACAAATTATTGCAGAAATTCAATTATTTTCAAAAGTAATAAAATTTTTCTTACAAAAGTTCAATTATGTTTAAAACTTTAAAAAATCCTGTAAAAATCTCAATTATCTTTATAACTAATAAAATTCTTCTTCAAAATTTAATTATTTAAAAACATTTTCCTGATTTCAATGATTTTCAATATCTACTATTTTAATAAATTTCATAAAAGAATTCAATTTTTTATTAAAATTGTACTCAAACATTTACAAATTATTTTCATAAATAATAAAAAATGCACAGAAATTCAATTATTAACAAATTTTTTTGTAAATTTCTTCTCAATAATTCAATTAATTTCATAAATAATAAATTTGTTTTGGAAATTCAATTATTTTTATGAATAATAAATTTGTTTTGGAAATTCAATTATTTTTATGAATAATAAATTTGTTTTAGGAATTCAATTATTTTCATACGTAAGAAAGTTCATGGCAGAATTTTAATTATCAATTTTAATCGAATTCCTCAAAAAATGTAATTATTCTGAAATATTATATAAAAATTTGTCAAAAGAATTCAATTATTTGAATTATAAATTATAACAAATTTTTATTTGTTAATAAAATTCTTTATAGGAATTGAATTTTAAGAAACATTTAATTATTCAATAAATTATTTACTTTTGTATTTAAATAGGTAATTGAATAATTTTGAAAAGGTTTCAAATTAAAATATTTAAAAATAAGAATTTTCTATACTTTTAACAATCAATTTTTGAAAAATTAATTTTTTTGAAAAAGTCTAATTTAAGTTAAGAAATAGAAATGGTGCAAATTATTTCCTTCTGAAAATTAAGCATTTTTTACAAAACTATTAAGAAATGGGAATATTTGAATATGTAATGGTTTTTTCCCAAAAGAAAAGAATGAGTTTGTAAACAATTATATTTTCTATTTCTTAATCATAATTTTTTAACAATTATCAATTTTCTAATATTTTTTATAAATAAAAGGCAAAAAAATTTGCATAATGAAGATTAGCCAAACGAGATTGATTCTTGGCAGCTTAAATTAAGTCAAATTAGAAGATTATTATTATAGAAATTATTATAGAAATTATAACAATAGTACATATTATGATACATTCACTGTTAAAACTAAGTCTTAAAGTACTTTCAGCTTAAAAGTATTTATTCTTAAATTCAACTCACTTTTGGGATTAAGATAAAAATAAGACAATTTTAGGTCTTAAAATCAGTTTTCTAATCAGAAATTATTTGGTTAATATATTTGGAGTAACGTAAGTTGCTGTTGTTAAAATTGGGCCTAAATCAAGACTTATTTTTTACAGTGTTGTATTCTACTTTATACAGAACAAAATATTTTTCTCATTGTATAAGTAATTTATAAGGATTGAATTAAAACTTCATTATATTTGTTGCGCGCTTGAAAATGAAAATTTTAAATCGGTGTTAATCCTATTTATGTTTTATTATTCCAGAACTCGCAATAAATTAATCAAAAGTTTTCAACGTTTAAATAAACGAAATATTTGTTACAATTAATTAGTTATTAATTATTAATAATAATTTTTATTCAGTATTTAAAACAATATTTTTCGTAATAAAGTTCATACTTCAAAAAATTGTAAAAACATTTCGTTCATTTAAAAGTTCAAAACCTAAAGCACAGCGCAACAATTATTTAAATTTTAAATATTTGAAAATATTTACCTTTTATGCAACTCCTTGAATCCTATTAAATAACACTTTAATTGATCACTTTACCACTTTTTTCACTTTTAAAATTTTCGAATTCGTCTAACAGTAAACAGTTTCGCTCTTCTTTGGCAAATGCTAAAGAGCAGCTGACGCTTGGAAGGCATTTCATGGAAAATTTCTAAGAAGGTCTTCAAAATTTTCAAATATTCTAATAAGGAAATGTTCACATACTTTCTGTATTAAATAAATCTATAGGAAAAAAACCGAGTCCCAAAACTCATAAAATTTGTCTCCTAGCAATACGAAACCCTTAGAAACGGCCATCCTAAGACAAACCAGATGTTGAACAAACCTTTCAAAAAGAAAAAAATGGACAGCCAACATTTGGTATTTTTGCTTTAAAAAGAAAAAATTTTTCTGCACGGGTATTGACCCGTGCAGAAAAATGGTGAGGGCCCCCGGCGGGGCCCTCGTGAATTGCCCTCTTGCCATCTGGAATCCGCAGGGGCAATCCACGCGGAGCCCTCGAAGGCGTGACATGCTTTCCCTCCTGGGTGCCCTCATGGATAATCCTCGTGGATTCCATACGGATTTTCCATGTGGTGCCCTCGTGGATTTCATGAAATGCCCTAATGGATTCCATCAGGAGCAATTTTAAATATCCTTATGGTTTCCTATTCTTTTTTGTCTAATGTTTACAGTATCACGTAAAAAAGTATTACAAGGTTGTAATTGTTTATTAAAATTTATTATAACAAATTTTATATAAATTTTATAAATTTATGTTAAACAAAGTTACATTTTAAGTTTTTATATTAAGAAACAATAAATATTTTCTTATTAGATTGGAACATTTTTTCAGTATAAATTATAAAAATATTTTTTAAAAACATTTTTTATATTTAATTTGTTTCCTCATGAGCTGCCTCTGTTGTGTGTGGTTAATATTTGCTTAATTTGCGCCCACCAAACCAATCTTTTGATCCACGTATTACGAAGCCTAATTCTTTAGCGTAATTTTTCTCCGTTTCTGCTTGTCCAGTTGCTCTATTCCCATGGGAAATTTTCAGGACATCTGTGTTAAAAAATAAAAATTAAATGTAACATAAAATTGAGATACTAAATTCGATTAAGAATATTTTTGAAACTTACCAAATAAGCAATTGTAAATGTTTTTCTCTTTGAAAAGAGTTTTTTTCTACACCTCCACAGACACGGTGAATGTTTTTAACAATTGAGCGGAAAAAAAACATTTAAAAATGTTTGTTAACGTTTTTCTTAAATTTCGATCAATGTCGAAATAAGAAACTAAACATGTTTTCTGACATTTAATTAAAGAAAATTTATTATAAACATAAATAACCCCTTAATAACTGACATGGCAAAGATTTTGTCCGTCAAATCTTTGCTATGGCAGTTAAGGGGTTAAAAACTAAAATAATTGTATATTGAAATATTTTAAAAATACTTACAAAATCTTCTTGGAAAACAGATTCTGATAATCTGTCGTCAAACTGATTGAAGCACTCATTGCTGTTAATCGGGAGTTGTAGTTTATATTTACTAATGAAATCAGGAACTGTTGCGAAATTCTCCTTGATATTAACGTTTTCAACTAAAAGTCTGTCCACCTTTCTCTCCACTCTGCTAACATCCACTGTTAGGCGATCTAATTTACGCACAATATAATCTGAAAAAGAATTTTTAATTAATATCGTGCATATAATTATTCGAATAACGAATTAAAAAATACAAATTTAAAAACTTACCATAAAAGTTTAATTTTAAGTTTTTCGGGTTTTTTTCAGTAAACTTTTCTTTATGAATCGATGTTTCGTGGAAATCATTCGGTCTAGGTTGCTTTTTGGCAGGATCGTCATTACTAAAATTTAAAGTTTCACTCGAAGTTCTATTTGGTTCAGTAAAATCAGTGAGATTTTGCACCTCTTCTGATTGTTTTGCCTGGGATATTTTTGAAGCGATATTCCGGTTTTCAACAGAATCATCATTATTATTCGTAATTGCAGTCTGTCTTGAACTCTCTTTTTCTTTAACCGAATTAACAAGATTTTGTTCCCTTTCTATTAGTTTTCCCTGGGATATTTTCGTCGCATTATTCCGGTTATCATTTGAAGTTGTCCTTGAACTTTGTTTTTCTTCATCAGACTCGGAGAGATCTCGAACTTCTTCTAAAGCTTTTCTTTTTTCTTGACTGAGCTTTAATGTATGAGATAATATTCTCTTTTGATTTCTTAAAGCTTTTTTCTGAGGTTCTTCAGAATCCTGAGTAAACGCGTAGTCATTTTCCCCTAATAGTTCTAGCTTAGCCTCCGCTTCTTTCAAATTGCCTATTAAATTAAATATAATTAGAAGCAATGTAAAATTCAACAATTTTAAGTTTTTAACTGTCATTTAGCACATTTTTAGAAACAACTAGTAGATTATTTTACATAAAATTTTTTACAATAATAAAAAAGGTAATAAATTTGAAAGTGATGAATATGAACTAAAAATTAATACATACGACCATGTCCCACTGATATGACGGTGTACCAGGGCCAATCTTCGGGTGCGGGAGACTTAAACTTCAACAGATCACGTATTAATAATAATTTATCTCCTCGCTGTGGGGTTCTTCCATGTATTGAGCTTTGATTTTGCCTTTTAATTGTTTTATCCACAATTTACTGACAATTCGTACGGTTCGATTAAGTGGTTGTCGACCGCGCTTTATGAATTGCATAATTTGATAATCGTACACATCATAATCGTCGTCAGAAGACAATTCGCTATCCGTATATTCCGATAATTTTCTAGAACTGAGTCATAGGAACGTTTGTTAAAAAGTTGCACATTCATTTTAAAATATAATGGAAAGCAATGTTGACATACCTCATTTTTATTAATCCGCGTTTTTTATTTTAATTTACAAAGCTTAAAATGATAAATATCTCACATAACGCTGCAATTATACAATCAGATTCTTTAATCTTTACAAATAAAATTGTATTTTTTACCAACGACTGATTTTAGACACTTAACAAAATGGCAGCAAAGAAGGCTTGGTAGGCGTCTACCTCTCCCAGCTGTACGCTTGTTCCTTTCCATTTAACTTACTGCGCTTGCGTTAGTTGGCAGCTTTTCATTGGCTTTTGGGAAATCAAGCCTAACCCGAGAAGAAAAAGCGGGGAGTTTGAAAATTCTGTACTTCAAATATACAAAGTTATAACTTTTATTTTTTTTTATTTTTAATGAAATTAACTTGACTAATTTTCAAATTTTTTAACCAATAAAATTTTTTATTTTAAAATATAAATATACATCATTTTTGAATTGTAATTTAAAAATTAATTTAATTTTTAAAGGAAGAATAAGTAGCATATAAATCGTTAATAAATAAAAAATATTAATTATTAATGAAGGAAAGGAACGACGAAAACTCTTTCAGGTCTTTTTTTCAAACGACAATGTTAGTTTTACTAGTTTACATTTTACTGAAGTCAACGGAAAAGTTTTTACTTGATTTGAATGATGGGCTTTTAGCTCCCACATGTTCATATATTTACCCGAATTAAATGGATAAATAAATACAGGCTTGATTTTTTCCCAAATATTACCCTCAATTTTAATACCTTCTAGACTCTCAAATATCGAATTGATCGTTAAAACGGAATCATCTTCCAGAATGATGGCATTATTTGGCGCAGAATTAGTTAAAATATTTTCTTTATATCTTATTTTTAAAATGGATTCTAGATTTTTGGTTAAAACTTCGCAGCTAACGGGAATGGTCGCTTTCTTAAACAAAAAATTACGCTCATAAAGACGTCTACATATTTGCTGTAACGGAAGATAAGAAGTTCGTATAAGATTTTTTAATTTGCCTAAAAAACTCTCAAAAGAAAAGGCACTAATTTCAGTTAAATTACACTGCATAAAATCAACATCGTCACTTAAGTGAATTAAACATTTTTTAACGCTGTGAAAAAAAATCTATATTCAACTGCTTTTCATTTTTCACATACTTTGTAGATCTTGCCTTCCTTTGAAATTCTACAGGTATTTGGGAATATAAAACATTCATACGTCTCGATAATTCTTCCCTGTCTGATACCCGCAATCGAAAACTCAAATCGCTAGCCAACCAATATTCTAATAATCTTTTCATTATGCCTAAGCAACAAAGATGCATAAAATCTAATACGAAAAAAAACCATGTTAATACGGGGCATTATTTCTTCCAACAACGATGGTCCATGATGGTGTTTAGTTTGCCTTCTATTTCTAAACGAAGCATCACCTCGTTCTCTCGCATCAACAGAAGAATAAGTCATAGTGCGATCAACAGATTTCCCTACAACTTCACATCTCTCACATGCAACTTTAGCAACATGATTTACTACATTTTTAACATGTGATCTTGCTGGGAAATCGCAAACAAAACCCTTTACACGAACATCGAAGTGTTTGTTTGAAACATTAATTTCTTCTTTGCTTAAATTATTAATTTCTTTAACCAATTGCTCTTGATTTTGATCTCGATCAGGTTTTGATTCCCCATAAAATAAAGAAATTGGAAATACTTCATAGATATCGGGTTTAAAATAAATTTTCCCTGAAGTAACCCATAAACTTTTGGCTCCAGACTTAGTTGAAGGTACACCATCGAAACTGATAAGTATATCAATGACACTTGTATCATGGATATCAGTATTAACACAATTACGAAGAGCATTTTCAATGCCAAAATAAACAAACTCGCCATCTTTACGTATTGAATCCTTTACAGTTATTACATTAGGTTTACCATTTTCTGTTTTTAGAAATGTTTTTCCTGATTTAGGTAGTGTTGGTAGTAAGTTTTCTCTCAAAATCTTCAATAATTCATCGAGAGCGTCAAGATGAATTTTTTTACTTAAAGCCCATTACTTTAATTTATGAATTTCGGATCTTTCATGTCGATTTAAATTAACTTCTTCCCCTTCTATGTCTGGATGGTCTTTAACTTGCATCTCATTTTCTGCATCGGAAAATTCGTCATCACTGATATCTTCGTCATCAATATCATTTTCTTCATACCTCGGTCGAAAGTACGTACTTCCCTCTGCGCTTTCGCAGCAGAAAGTCAAACATTTGTGCTTTGGTTGATTTTCATACCCAACCTCTATTACAGCGGGAGTAAAAGAATTCTCTGTCGGTAAAAACACCACTGTCGGTAAATAAGAAAATTTCGAGTCAATGAAAATTTAACGAATAATTGTTATCGCAATATAAAATGAGAAAAAAAATGATCAAGAAAACTTTTTATACTTTTTAAATTTATTATCCACAAGCTCTGAATATTGAAATGAACGAAATCTTTTGCTGATATAATTATTTTCAAAACATATTTTAATAAACATTAAAAAATAAAATAATTAATAATTTTGTGATTTCTTTTTTAATACGTGCCAAAATGTTATTATAAAATTGTAATAATTTGAAGAAATAATGAAATTGTGTTCATTAGAACGTTTAGAATTTTAGAAACATAAAATTAATTTTGTACCAACAGAAAAATTCTTTTAAAAATATAATATTAATTTATCTTTCACATTTTTTTTCGTGCCTGCCCCCGACCAGAAGCACTCGCTTCGCTCGTGCATCAAATGTCGGGGCAGGCGAATATTTTTTGCAAGAGAGAGACAGAGAAAAAACCAGAGCTTCACGAGTGTCCGATAAAGGCGTTGAAGCGAGGAGCAAAAGTAAATGAAGATGGCCGGCTGTCAAATGAAACACGATTGCAATTTTCTTAAAAAATAAATTAGCGAGCGTACTTTCGATATAAAGAAAAATAGTATACATTACACGGGCAGAAATTCGAAAGCCCTAAACTACGCGACGATGCCCTCGGCTTCGCCTCGGGCATCATTTCGCGCAGTGCAGGAATTTCGAACTTTCTGCCCTTATAATGTAATATACTATTTCGTCTTCACTACAGAATACACAGTTCAAAATATCTGTTTCATAAGTTATAACTGGTTGATCTCCTAGGCTTGTTCCTACATTATTTTCAAAATTATTTATTTCGCCTTCGCTGTTTTCCTGTCTTTGCGTATCAAGAAAGTCTTGAAATTCTTCAATGTCAAATTCATTGTTTTGTTTTGCGGTAATGGATCCAAATTCTACAAGAAAATTAATCTATTAATTTAGTTTCAGCTCTTTAAAATACAAAAAGTACAAATGAATCTTAAAGTTTGATGAAATAAAAAAATGAAAATAGATTTGTTTTAATCAAAGACAGTTTTTCAGTTTGAAGTTATGTCAACGGGTTTACAAACTTCCTTAAGGATATGAAAAATTTTTATTTTGTTAATCCACAAAACAAAAATCATCAAATTCGAAAAATTCACACATATAATGATTAAAAAAAGTTTTTAAGTAATAAAAATATGTACTTGAAAATACCTGACACAATTTGTTTTCTTTCAGAATCTTGTACATCATCGAAATCAATATCACAAAATCTTGAAGACAATTCATTAAAACTCCTTTTGGTAGCACGGTATATTTCACACCTCACTTTATTTTTTTTCTTTTTTATCCATTAACACACCTGTGTTTATCAGATTGAAAATAAAATACAATATTCGGAACGTAATCAACATTGCCATGTGCAGACACCATGCGGTAAAACTAATATTTAAGGTTATGAACAATATCACGCAACTTTGTATAAGATTTTCAAAAAATGTCACTCAATTTTTATTTCAGGAGCTTTGAAATGTTATTTAAAGACATCTAAACTAAACTCTTTTGAACAAAAAAGAAATTTTTCTTTTGGACTTAGAAAAATTTTTGAGCAGGGCGACCGTAAGGGCAAACAGCGGGGCCCCTGCTGGTGCCTTCGAAAATTTCCATAACTTTGTGATAGGATTTCTGGAAAAATGTTACTTAATGATTATTTAAAATGCTTTAAAATGTTATTTAAAGAAATCTAAACTAAACTCTTTTGAACAAAAAAAAAAATTTTCTTTTGGACTTAGAAAAATTTTTGAGCAGGGCGACCGTAAGGGCAAACAGCTTTGAAATGTAATTTAATGCACTCTGAACAAAACATTTTTAATAAAAAAAAAATTTTTTTTGGGACTTAGAAAGATTTTTGAGCAGGGCGATCGTAAGGGCAAAGAGCGGGGCCCCTGCCCACGTGGGCCCCCTCCGGGGGGAGTGGCTCGAACGTGGCGTTTTCTACACGGGTACATTTACATTCTTTTATGAATCTCAAATATTTATGACAGTGCCTTAAATTTTTTAATAAATAATTTGTTAATGTACTTTTAAGCAAGGATTGCTTTCTCAATATACATTTATTTTACACGTAGGAGACGATTGACAAAAAAAATTATGTATTATACTAAAATTTATAATATCGAATGTTTTATTTTAACTAATGGAAACGTAAGATAAACTGTACAAAGTAATGAAAAATGACATTACTACTATTTCAGATTTAAAGAATATTTAAGCTTAAATCTCACATTTAATTTAAAGTTGTAACTCAAATCATAATTAGAAGGAGTTTACACCGTAAGCCTTAAATATAAGCCTCCGCGCGCATAAACGGATATACCTCCAGGAGCATATATTTGCGCCTGCGCGAACACGTGGTCAAGGCAAACTCTTTCACAACACAGCTGCAGGCAAACACTTTGCGCAGACGCAAGTATATGCTCATGGAGGCATATCCGTTTATGCTCGCGGAGGCTTATATTTAAGGCTTACGATGTAAACTCCTTCTTAGTGTAATTAAAACAATAGATTTTTGATAATAATTATCTAATAAGTTACGGAAAACTTTTAAAAATTTTATTTATTCCCAAAAAATTTGGTAAAACCTATGATAAATTTAGTTTTTCATAAAAAGAATGGTGAATATTCCCTTAATTCAAGAATTATTCACAAAATATTTTAGACTAAGTTGTATTTATAAAAATTTTGGTTAATTTTCACCAATTTCTTGGAGAATATTTACCAACTTTTCAGTGAAAAACACAGTCATTATAATTTTGGAGAATTTTCACTAAAGTATTAAGAAATATATACCATATATTTTGGGGAAAAAATATTCATTACAACTTTGGGGAATTTTCACCAACTTTTTAGGACATTATTACCAATTGTTTAAGAAAAGGTATTTTCCCCAGAAAATAAGAAACATTCACCACAAATAATTGGTAAAAATTCCCAAA